TATCGCCATATTTTGTTAAAGTTGTTAAACTCAAATATTTAGCGATGTGATAGGGGAATTTTTATTACTGAAAATGATATGACATATAGATCATTAACTCTTTTTTGTTTCTATTATCTGCCACTAATATGTTCGATTTGCACTCCATTTTCCTCTTCTCCTTTTTTCTATACTCCTTTTTTTCTCTACTCCTTTAGCGATGTGATAAGAGAATTTCTACGGATATTTTATTGTTGTAGAATTCGCCATGAGCTTATTTAATTATTAACTCAAGAATTTAGATTCATCATGCAAATTCCCGATACAAAAAGAAAACAAATTTATTTTTCTTTCTCCAGATTTGTTACTGCTTCCGAATATTGCAAGAAAGACAAAATTTTAGGCGTCATCATCTGAATTAACCGAGAACCAATGACATCACTGGCGATAAATATTCAAACAGCTTAAAATGATTCTATTTCACTGTCCTATTAGAATTGTGCTTGTCCCTCGCTTCATTAGTTTGCACAACCGTTACGCCCTGCCAGTACTTCATAAATAAAGGACTATTCCGTTTTGATTGCGTGAGAAGAGAAAAGACTTTTCAGAGACGATACTTAGTTTCAGTAAAGAAAGATAGAAGTGTTTAACGTTCCCTATTAATAGCTCATAAATAATGGAAAATTACATTTTGATCACGTGAGAAAAGAAAATACATATAAAAGACGCTACTTGTTTTTAGCTAGAAAATGAAAATAAGATTTGAAAATAGAAATGTTTAACGTCCGTTTCAATGAAATGAAAAAGGTTGTCAATTTCAAATTTTTTCATTTGTACCCACTTACTTCTTAAAATAGCGCCCAGAAGTAGATTCAATATCACTTTATGTGAGCCGAAAAAGTTTAACCAAAGAAGACACAATACAGCACTATAACTGTGGAGGTTAGCATCAGCTATGATGACTGGAGGCCAAAACGTGCCTCTAAAACGTTTAAAAGAGAATAGTTTTGTTTTGGAGCGTTAAAATGAACAAGGTATTTCTTTCCCCAGTTAACAACAGATTGTAGGTCAATTTCCTTAGATCAGCTATTAATCAAGTCGTCAACAATAGCACCGTTCTTACGTCTCTATGTTCGAATGCTAAATTCTTAAATAGTATCTTCGTGGCTTTCGCTGACTGATTCAAGGTAATGTGCACGCCTTTTTGCAGCATGTTGCATACCGTTATATTTAGATATATTCTACGATAATCGTATGTTTACTACAAGGTATCCTTGACATTCGTCGGTAGAACTAAATTCCTGACGCTTCAAGACTCTTCTTCATCTTCAAGTTGATTGTCCATAGTAATTGGTAGGGTTGTTTTCTTGCATTTAACGACTTTTCCACCCCAATCGGCTCATGAAGGTTTATCACTTATTAAAAACAGTAAAGAGTGCGATGGATGAATTGTCGTTTAAACGACGCAGAAATGAAAATAACACGGAGATCTCATTTTAACAGATATATTTACCAAAATTTCACAAAAATATCTTGGAATACTAAAGAGTAAATTTATTCAATAAAATCGCCATTGACTTCGGAATCTCCTCCAACTCTTCTGGACATATTCTTTGTCTTCAGTTCATCTTTGATGTTACAGTTTTGTTCGTCTGTCGATCAACTGCACCCCACACATAATCATGGGGATTGCAGACTGGGGAGTTGTGGCCGTATATAAGGGGTGATGTGGTCGCAGAACTTGACAGCCAAGACAGAGTTCTCCTGCTTGTGTGGCATGGTGCAGAGTCTTTTTGCCAGACATAGGGTCTTCCAGTAGACAACCTCTTGACCCAGGGCAGCAGTACCTCTTCAAGGCACTTGATGTAGGCCCCCGTGTTGAGTCTGAGGCCCAGTGGGAAGATGAATGGATCACTAGTGATCATTCCAAACACCTTCGTAATCACCATTAGACTCATCCTACTCATTCCTAATCTCCTTCTTCTTGACCGGTTGCCACTCAAGGCTCAGTCTGTCATGCTGTCATGCTCTCCTCAGATTGACACCCAAACACTTTGAAATCTTCGTATTGGAGCTTCCGGTGCGAATGCCAAATAGAACAGCATGCCGTTTCTAAATTTCTCGCGGAGTGAATCGCGTCATAGTACTCTTTTCCTCACAGACGGTGCCCAACTGACCCTGCTATAATGCACAGTCGTCACAATAAGAAAAACAACAACGCGCATGCGCTGAATTAAAAATATAAAATGGCGACAATTTAACTATGCCACATTGTACATACAGGCTGTTGGGGTTTCACTTATTCTCCTTACCAGACACTGGTCTGGTAGGGCAGCAAGTTTAGTCGTCGACCACTCAGCCACCCAGGTTTTATATTCAGAGCTATCCTTCTTCTTGACCGGTTGCCACTCAAGGCTCAGTCTGTCATGCTATTTACCCAAGAGAAGAGATGGATTCATACTTTTCTCAATTGAATTTGTAAGTGAATGTAATGAAATCGACTGGAATTCGAACTTGGCTCCCCGATTCCTCAATCCGAGCTGCTATCCATTACACCACCGTTAAAGGGTGGATGAACGCTTCAGTCAGTTGTTAGCCACCACATCTATGGGTTAAATATCTCACCAACCCACAATCGGCTAAGTGTGGTGAATACAGATACACACCTTAGGACATACGAAATCAGGGACAGGTTATTTCGACAGGGACTTGGATTTTGACATACAGACACCCACATATGTATTTATATACAAACACGTGTTTTTATATATAGTCACAATTTGGAAATTTTGTGATCTCAACGAACATTCGCTGCCACTTTTGTAATGTCAACAAATACTCGTTGTCACTTTCGAAATGCTCGTTGTAGTAGAGACTATGTAATCGCAGATACAACTATATTAACGCCGTTGAACAATACTGGTGTCAGACGCATTCGAATATCACTCGCACTAATAGTACTTGCTTAATAATACTCGCTCAAAAAGTAACCACAGTATAGTGATCCGAATAGTAATCCGTATAGCGGGATATTCTCTAACCGCCTCACGCCGCCGGATGCGGCATAAGGCCAGGTTTATTGTGGGGTATCCAAGTTTATTATGGTGTATTGGGCAAAAGTTCCCCGTAGATCCCGTAAAAATGGAGTCTGGTAACTGTCTGTCACCGCAGACGAGACTCTTCCATTTGGCACAGCCTCATCTGGGGATCCTCTGTGCCCGGAGGCAGAGAGTTTGAACGGCACACTTCCGAAGTAATCCGGATAGTGATGATATTCACTAAGCGCCCCACGCGGTTGGATGTGGTACAAGGCCGAGTTTATTGTAGACTCGGGCAAAATTCCCCGTATACCCCGTAAAAACGGGGTCGGGTAGCTGTCTACCACTCCAGACGAGACTCTGCCCTTTGCCATGGCCTCGTATGGGTTTCTTTCTACACAGACGCAGAGAGTTCGACAAGCACACTTCTGAAGTAATTCGGAGAGTGATGATATTCACTAACGGCCCCACGCGGTCGGATGTGGCACAAAGCCGAGTTTATTGTGGGGTATCCGAGCCCGTAAGCTCGGGCAAAATTTCCCGTATACCCCGTAAAAACGGGGTCGGGTAGCTGTCTACCACCCCAGACGAGACTTTGCCCTTTGGCATAGCCTCGTCTGGGTTCCTTTCTACCCAAAGGCAGAGAGTTCGACAAGCACACCTCCGAAGTAATTCGGAGAGTGATTCCACGCTAATTCCCATATATACATATCTTTTAGCATCATTTGATCTACTTATTCAAAATGGGATCGCCGGTGTTTGCTCTCTAGTGATCTGTGTTCAAACTCCAGTGTTGGCAGCGACACTTTATTCCTATATAACAGGAAATTATAATTTGTTAGTCAATAATAGTAATAGGAGATGTTGAAAGCAAGGAAAGCACACCTCTTAAAGGGATACTGAACACTGACATGATCATAGAAAGTCTTCAACATTTCTTGAGCACTTAGCCTTACAATTGGCTGAAATACAACAAATGTTTTTTTTTTCTTAAAATAGGAAATTAGTTGTTCTCAAAGTTACTGTTATTGCTCTCTCTATTACTGATGGCACTTTTCTTCCTAACCTTTTGTTTGGTGTGGTGTGGAATGTCAACATATTGACCATGTCATTATTTTCTCTTCTAGTTAAATATGAAACCGAAATTAGTTGTGGCTGTTAGAATGAGGATTGTCAGAGATGGTGAAAAGAGATAAACAAGAGATACAAAATATCGGAAGTTATGGAGAGAAAAAGGAGGAAAGGAAAAAGAAGTACACGAACAAGAAGAAGGAAGAGGAGTAGGAGGATTTGAAGAAGAAGAAGAAGAAGAAAAGAAGAAGAAGAAGAAGAAGAATTAACATTGTCAGCTCGCCTCTGAGTCTGTGCATGTAAACACATATACGCGCGCACACACACGCGCACACACATACATACATATGCAGAGATATATTTCCATGTTATAAGAGTGTGTGGGCGGGAGTTTATATCTTTATTGCATTTCTGTCAAAACCGCCTGACAAGTCAACCGTCCAAAATGTATTTGCAACGATTTAATAATTTTAGACAACTTTGTTTACCGCTTCCACTTGTCGTGGCGAACAACAATCCTCTGCCCAGTTGTCTTTTCTCCTCTTACGCTTTCCACTTCCTCTCTCGCTTCTTCTCTTCCTCTCTCTTTTTCTCCTCTTTTATTTCCTCTTCTTCTTCTTCTTCTTCTTCTTCTTCTTCTTCTCTTCCCCCATCATTCTCCTCTTCCTCCTTTTTGTTTTCCTCTTTCTTCTTTTCTTCCTCTTTCTTGTTTTACCTCCCCCTTCTCCCCTCTTTCTTCATCTGTTCCACTCTCTTCTTCTATTCCTCCCTCTTCTTTTCTTCTTCCCTCTTCTTCTTTTCTTCTCTTCCTCTCTTTTCGTCTCTCTTCTTTACTACGTTCTTCTCTTTCTCATTCATCTTCTCTTCCTCTTTCTTCTTCTCTCCCATTATCTCTTACCCACTCTTCTTCTCATCCACTATCTTTTTCTCCCTCTCTCTTTTCTCTCTCTCACTTTGACGAATTGCCAGCTTTATTCCCATCTTCTTGTCACTTTCTCCTTTCATTCTGTAAAATGGTAGTAAACATTATTAATACTTGTTTTGATATACTATTTTTCAACCCATTCTAAGACTAAGATGCACTCAAGACAGAGCCTTATTAAATGAGATTGTTGTAAAGGTGTGGAAGGGGGAAGTAAGAGGTGTATAGTTTTTAAAAATTACCAGGGTGGCATCCAACATTTGAATATATATATATATATGCCCCCAAAAATAGCGGATACAAAAACGCTAACATAAATTATAAAACAATAGTACTAACCAGAAGAAAAATAGGAAAAAGAAAATCATTTGGTATACCCCTCCGTTCAACCAAATGATTACTATTAAGCTAGGGCATAAGTTCCTTGATTTAATTGAAAAACACTTTCCTACTAATAGCAAACTTAGCAAGATCTTTAATAAAAACACCTTAAAATTAAGTTACAGCTGCACTGAAAATCTAGAAAAAATCATTAAAAAAAAACATAATAATAAAATCCTGGAAAAACACGCATGCCAAAACAGCATTAATAAAAATCCTAAACAAGAATTAGACAAAAATAATGAAAAATTATTTGATTGTAGAAACCCTGAAGACTGCTCGTTGGAAAATAAATGCCATACAAAATCTATGGTATACCAATGCACTATCTCATCTATTGAGAGTCCTAACACTGATAGGATATATTAGATGGAGACAACACAAAAGCTCCTTCAATAATATTAGAAATAAAAATCAGACATCTCTATACAAATATTTTTGGCATTTAAAAGAAATGAATAAAACACCAAAAGTAAAATGGAAAATAATAACTAGAACAAGAACTTGTAAAACCTGGGATGACCTATGCCCTTTATGCCTACATGAAAAACTACACATTATTAAGTTTCTAAATAATGAAAATTTATTAAACCATAGACATGAGTTAACGGTTTTCTGCCGACATCAAGTTTTCGCATTAAATAATTAGCATAAAAAAATTAAATTTCATAGTCTAATAAAAGTTTTAAAAGCTTAACCCAATCATAAGATAGAAAAACCCTTCATTAAGTCGTCAAAAAACAAATTGTAGTTCAGTGCGACGCGTTTAAGTATGAAACAGCCCTTTAGAAAAAAAATAAAATAAAATAAAAGGATAAATAAATAAAATAAAAAAAAATTCTCTAGACACTTAACGACATATTATGGTGCCAAAATCTATCTTTGGCTGTGACTGGGCAGACGATATGCGCACATGAATGTCATCATTCGCTTTGACATGGATACACACACCCTACCTCGGTTTGACCTCTTTCCAGAGGTGACTGATATATGGATAAAAATTATCTCTTAGGCCCCTTACCACAATGGTGACCTCAGCCGTTTCCATAGTAAGTAATTTTGCGAATGAACATGCTTATAAAGATGCGTAAATTTCAAAATTGGTTATTCCTAAATTTTTGCTTGAGGAGGAAACATAGCTAGATACCTTAATTCAATTTAATTTTAATAATTATATTGAGGGTTTCGGCTCTCGATTTTGAAACATGAGAACTCTTATGTAGCGAAGGAATCATTTTTTAAAAAATAATTATAATTTAAGCTCTACTTCTGTATGGAGCACTGTTTTTTTTTTTTTTTTTTTTTTTTAAATAAAAACAAAAATAGTAAAGAACTCCGGATTATATACCTAACGTGTTATTTCCTATTTTCTACATACCTGCACACACACACACACACACACACACACACACACACATATATATATATATATATATATATATATATATATATATATATATATATATATATATATATATATTAGATTGTGCAGATGATATCACGAAGAAACAATTTATACAAATAATTAAATAGAAACAATGTTAATGTGATTAATGGTGTAATCACTTAGCTAGCAAGATTTAATGAAGCCTTAACTTACTAACAATTCCATGAATAATAAGATACTCATGTTCGAGTTGTTGTAGGGTGAAAGATAAGTACCAAGTACTTTCGACAATTTCAAATTGTCATCTTCAGGGTGCACTTTTCCCATGCATAGGCAAACACTAAGACGATCTATATGTAGACCGAAATATGTTTTTATATATATATATATATATATATATATATATATATATATATATATATATATATATATATAATTATTTATTTTTAAAATATGATTCCAAATCGCGATATAAGAAGTCCCATGTTAAAAAACAAGAGCCGAAAACTTCAATATAATTATTTAAAATTAAATTGAATTAAAATAAGCTCTGTTCCATCTTCAAGCGAAATTTTTTTGGAATAACGTGTTTCTGAAATTTACGTGTTTTAAAAATTGAAATCAAAATTTCCATGGTAACAGCTAGGGCGAATTGTTTAAGTTGGGTAGGCGGGTGTTGTGTGTTAATAATAAGTATCAGTATAGAGTTACTTTCGTAGATGTCAAGTCAGGGAAAGGTGGGGGTGTCTAAATTTGAAACGGAAGATGTATTAACCCTCGACTAGTTTGCATGTCTATGGAGATTTATTTATTTTTTATTTTATTTTTTTATGAAAGGGATTTGTGCATATAAAAAAAAACTGTCATAACCTTTGTTTTTTGACGACTTCATAAAGGGTTATCTTTTTTTAGGGTATTTAAACTATTTATTTGGGCTATGGATTATGAAGAGTGTTATATTGTATGCATGTTTTTAGTTAATCAACCCGTGAATCTGATGAGTGGGATATGGATTAAACAAGTTATTATATTGTATGCTAGTTTTTAGCTAATAATTCAAACCAAAAATCTGATGATGCCTACAAAAAACCGTTAACTCGTGACTATTGTTTAATAGATTATTATTATTTAGAAGCTTAATTATGTGCAATTTCTCATTCATGCCTCCATGAGAAATTGCACATTCCTAAAAAAAATTCGCTTGAAGATGTATCAGAGCTTATTTTAACTCAATTTAATTTAAATAATTATATTGAAGTTTTCGACTCTTGTTTTGAAACATGGGACTTCTTATGTCGCGATCTGGAATCATATTTTTAAATAAATAATTATATTTATGCTCTACTTTGTATCGAGCACTATTTTTAAAAAATAATAACTAAAATACTAAGGGATTTTGGATTATTTACCTAACCAGTTCCTTCCTATTTTCTATATATTTTCACACACACACACACACACACACACACACACACACATATATATATATATATATATATATATATATATATATATATATATATATATATATTATTTATTTATTGACAGTTAAATATGTTTTGGAGCGTGCAATGCAGCGACGCGAGAATTCTTGCTCAAATCGATCAAGCTAGAACATTGTTTGAATTTTGAAAGTTATAAATTCACGAAATTTTCTTGTTATAAGTGTTTATCAGTTAAAGCGAAATGGACTTATATATAATCCAGTTAGTAGAGTAAAAATGTCTTAGTAGTTTTCCAGAATTTAAGATTTTGATTAATACTCTACTGCGGATCTGATATCGTATTTATATTAGAGTGTGCAGATGATATTTTATATCATAAGGAAACAATGTATACAAAGAATATTTATCAATATTAATGTAATTAATGACGAAATCACTTCGCTAACAAGCTATTTATGACACACACACACACACACACACACACACACACATATATATATATATATATATTTATATATATATATTATAAATTTTTCAGAAAAAGCTTAGTTCATTTTCATTTGTTCCCGTTTTCGAACAAGAAAAACTGGCCACTCTCCGAAATTAATTTTTGTTGTTTTGTTCGACCGTTTCTGTCAGTAAGTCAATTTGGACAAGTACAAAGTTACAACTCAGAATTGCCAGGATGTCGACAACGAAATCCTGCCTTTCACATTGACATCACGTGGTTCTTGATAAAGACATTGAGAATCGAAAATACACAAACCAGACATGAATATTGAACAGTTTTTTCACAATTTTTGATATGGATGTACAACGAATTAAAGAAAAAACATACAAAAGTATACCAAAAGGAGAGAATCTTTTGATTGCATTAAACAATTTAGTTAAAGTGAATACTTGTAGCCTTAATATATTATACATATAACGCACATTATATATATATATATATATTATATTTTAGTTACGAACATTACATATATATGTATTTATATTCTTTACACACGCAGGCATATATATATATATATATATATATATATATATATATATATACTTATTCAAAAAATTATAACATAAGTATGTTATAACATCACTAAAAATAACCATTTTGTTTCAACACTTCTTGTGTCTTATCAAATGATGGTGTTGATTGCAAAATAAAGAGTTTTAAAAAGTTCAAAACCAACTGCACCCGCTCAATAGGGGAAGCACTGTAACGTAAGCTATGATGGCTAATTAAAATAGAAGTATATGAGAATTCAAAGGAACTTCATACTGGACCATAGAAACAATTTAATAAATTGTTTCTAGGGACCGGTATGAAGTTCCTTTGAATTCTCATATACTTCTAATTCTCATATATACTTCTAATTCTCATATACTTCTAATGCTTTAATATTAATATTAGATAAAATTAGAAATCAGAATAACTAATTAAATGCTAATTTCACTATACTGTTAAAAAAATGAAAATTACGAATTATAAATTTTAACCATAACCATGGATTCATTTTTTTTAATATTACAAAATTATTCAAAGCAGAAATGGAGAAAATATACATATATTTTTATGTATTGTTCTTAGATATTAAATTTTCCGTTAGATTAAATGCAAGAAGTTTCAGTGATCGTTACATATCAGCCACAGTGATAGAGTCTGAATTCAGATTAGGTGGAAAGAGAAGAGGTTTTACAAATATTAAGACATCACAACCACATCGTAATACAGAAAAAATATAATCATACTTATAAAACCCAGATTGTGTGTGTGTGTGTGTGTGTGTGTGTGTGTGTGTGTGTGTGTGTGTGTGTGTGTGTGTGTGTGTGTGTGTGTTCGTTTATATATTCGATCGGATTTCCAACCGATTTCAACAAAACTTCACAGGACTACGTAAAATTACCTTGCGGTGGTTCTGACAGCGCCAAAAATTGGAA